TCATTTTTTTTTTCAAAAAAAACACACAATGCTAACAGTGACGGGCCGTCCACACAGCGGCGTGCGTTGACGCTTGGCGGTGGGCGTATCTGAAGCTTGGGGATTTTTTGCGAGCAACGCGACCAACAACCAATCACATCGCCCCCGACATACAAAGCAATAGCAATGTTAAAACAAAGTAAACTGGATATAAAATCCCCAAACGCTGTGTGGACGGGCCGTCGTGACACAGCGTCGTTCCGACGTAACGTGTGTATGTTTCTGGAAGTGAAATGAGGAAGCAGAAAAACAGAGGTCTGTGATGTATTTTGTGAAACAGAAGAGAAATGAAGCTTTGCGCAAGTTCAATTAGGAAGACCAATATTCCCTGGTGCTGCACGTAATTTCAATACCTTCCCCTCTCCCAATAAGTGATCAGGGGCGTTACTCCCCAGCTAGCCAATCATCGCACCCGCTAACCCTTTTAAATCTGCTCTTCCCTCTCTGTCAGTTGTCATTTCAGGTGTCAACGCACAATTGGTAGTACCTCGATACTCCTCTCTCGTAAACACTCAGAAAAGACAAAAAAAAAACCTCAGATGTCTAATACAGAATGTTCAGATAACGAACCTTTTCCAAAGGATTTCGATCCCGGTTCCGACGTACCTCCAGAAGTACATTCCAACTCCTCAAGCCACCGGCGCACGAGCTCCCGTCTGGTTTCCCGTGGCGGATCTCGAACAGCAGAGGCTGACTTCCTCATCTCCCATAGCTGCAGCCGGGCATTTCTGCAGCCCCAGATCTCCCTCTCTCCCAGGTTCGGGAACTCTCGGACCAAGTCTCCGGTGCGGTCTCCCAGCCCAGGCCAGCAGCTCCAGCCAACTCTTCAGCCAACTCTTCAGCCAACTCTCCAGCTAACTCTCCCGAGAGACCAGGGTGAGGACACGGGCGTAGCCGCGGGGGGAAAAGGACAAGGAAGCAGTGTCCTCCACGAGCTCGCTTGTCAAAAAGACCCACCCTCCCCCAGGCTCAACCGAGCGCCGCCCAGCTCGGGAGCCCTGGTAACCTGCCCCTCACGGATGATAGCTTAGCTAATACCCTAAAAAACTGGCAAGCTCCATGCTGTCAATCAACGCTCGCCTTCAGGCCATGGATAAAGGCCCCGCTGGAGCTTCAACCTCTTCCGCGAACCAGGCCGGGGGTTTTGCTCCGGTGCCGCCAGGGTTTTTGCCGGGTCAGGGCCCTTTTCATCCACAGTTGGTAGCTCCCTCTCACTCCCTGGCTTCCGCACTCCCAGCGCCTCCTTCAGGTAGGCCTTACATTCCCCAAGCCGCTTACATTTCGTCACGGCTGAGAGCGAAAATCCTTGAAGGGAAAGACATTAATCTTGCCTTCCCCGGAGTGCGACAAGTCCATCGCCACGGGAGGAAGCTTCACTGCCGTGTGTAGGTCCGCAGATCCCCGGCTCCTTAAAGATCTCAACATAGGGCAATTCCTGGTTGCTTTTGGCATCTTCCGCGATGTCCTATGGTCCGTTTACCCCGAAAGAAGAACTGAGTTAGACGCTTATCTGGGCATTATCGGCGATCTCCATCTCAAATACGGGAAATCCACGTTCTACTGCTATCACAAGAGTTTTTCTAGCAAAGCAGCGCTTCATCTAGCTCACTGCAACATTCGCCTGGACTGGTCCATGCTGGACACCGAGCTGCTTGTGATGGCTACCGGCGGGCAACAAGTCGCCTCATGCATTAGTTGGGGGACGCAGGGCCACACCTCCCCCTTCTGCCCATCAGTGCCTCTCTCCGGGTCCAGAGATTTCCCCACGTCGTATCTCGGGAATAATAGACAAGATCGTCAGGTGCAGAACAGGCAAAATGAGAGGATTTGTTATGGCTTTAACGAAAACGTCTGCGTTTATCCTTATTGTACATTTCTCCACATTTGCAGTTTCTGCAGGGAGGCTCATCCGAAGTCAGTCTGCCCAAGGCGCCGCCGAGTCACCTTCCCGCCACAGAAACCACGTGGTGGAAAAATCTTCTGAAACATCACCCTTCTACTCCCATTAACATCCCACACTTAGCCGGTGCGCTCTCTACTCACCCAGATTCAGTGTTCGTAGATTATCTCCTGTCAGGGCTCTCCCAAGGCTTTAGGGTCGGGGTTCTCTCTCCCCCCTCTGTGACTTTTGTTGCAAAAAACCTGCAATCAGCCACTGAAGAACCCATCATAGTCTCCCAGCTCATTGAGAAAGAACTTCACAAAGGATACTTAATAGGTCCTTTTCACTCATCCCCGTTCTCTGTGTTACGGACAAGTCCAATAGGAGTAGCCACACGTAAATATTCCGAGAAGAAAAGGCTGATTTTCGATCTGTCCGCACCCCGCTCCGGCCCGTTCTGCAGCATTAACAGCCTCATCCCTTCAGAGCCATTCTCCCTTCACCATGCCTTGGTTGATAACGCAATCAAACTAATTAAGCTTGCAGGGCAAGGAGCCTGGCTCTCCAAAGCAGACATTACCGATGCGTTCAAAATCATTCCCATCCATCCGTCTCAGTGGAACATGTTCGGTATCAGGTGGGAGTCTAAATTCTACTTCGCTGTCCGCCTGACTTTCGGGTGCAGAAGTAGCCCTTGCATTTTTTATTCTTTTTCCGAAGCCCTTTGCTGGATCCTGCTGAACAGCGTCAGAATTCCCTCCATTCTTCAATTACTGGACGATTTCCTCCTCGTAGATCCCCCTAGGGACAACTCAGGCGCCTCCCTGGCAAAACTTAAACTCTGCTTTCAGGAGCTAGGCGTCCCCTTATCCGCAGAGAAAACCCTAGGACCCGACACACGCCTGGAGTTTTTAGGCATTACACTCGATTCCATAGAGATGAAAGCGTCTCTTCCCACCGACAAACTGCAGCGCATACGTGACATTACTAAGTCATATTGCGAGCAACAAATCATCACCAAACAACAGCTGCTCTCTCTTCTCGGGCACCCTAACTTCGCCATGCGCGTCATTCCCCAGGGGCGCTCATTCAAGGCTGCCGCTCAGACCTACGATTCTGGTCTCTCCTGCTCGCTCACTGGAACGGCATCACCTTATTTTATGACGACCTCGTGTATTCCTCCCACTCAATGAGGTTCTTCACGGACGCCGCCCCATCCGTGGGTTTTGGGGGTTTCTTTCAGGGAGAGTGGTTCGCAGGTCCATGGCCTGCCGCATTCCCCAATCATGGCTCGTCCTCTGCCCTGCACGAGATCTACCCTATCGCTGTTGCCTGTTACGTGTGCGGAAACGCATCTCGGTGCTCTGCGACAACCAATCAGTGGTCGGAATAATTAATAAAGCTCGCTCCCCGTGCAATGACATTATGCCGTTCATGAGAAGCATCAAGTGGTCCTCCATTACACATAACTTCCTCATTTCAGCTCGTCACGTCCCCGGCCACCTCAACACAGCGGCTGATTCCCTCTCTCGCTTTCATTTCCAGACCTTCCGGAATCTCTGCCCAGAAGCCAGCTTGCAACCCGTCGGGATCCCTCCCCTGCATCTCCTCTCTCTCTCTTAAACGAGAGCCCATTAGCCAGGCACCTAGAGTTCGCCAGATTTTTTATGAGGAAGGGCTTAGCCGCTTCCACCCTTAAAACGTACGACTCCGCATGGAGAATATTCGCTTTCTTTTGTTTTTCCGTAGGCATCTCACTTAAACCCGTCCTTATATCCACCGTGTCTGCCTTCATGTGCTACTGCGCCACTGATCGCCACCTCAAACCCCAATACATCAGAGGCCTCTTAGCAGGAGTTCAATTTAATGTTCGTTGTTTCGATCCCAGCTTTCCCAGCCTATTTACTAACCAATCAGTTAAACTCATTCTTAAAGGTCTTCTAAAAACGTTTCCCCCCGCTTCAGACCATAGACGACCCATTACACTCTCCACTCTGCGCCTCATACTCTCCAAACTTAGAGAAGGATTATTTTCTCCCTACGTCGATGCGCTACTCGATGCATTATTTCTATTAGCATTCTATGCTTTTCTCAGACCAGGCGAGTTCGCCACAGCTTCCCTAACTTTCGATCCCAATCAAGACGTCTGCTTTGCCGGCTTATCTTTCTACGCTAGCCATTTTAGTCTACAGCTTAAGCACTCCAAATGCGGAGGCGCCTGCTCCGTTACCGCAGCTCGCAATGATTCCCCGTTCTGCCCCTATAAATCCATGATCAAATTTCTGCACCTCAGATCTTCCACAAATCCTCTCTCACCACTATTTCTTCTTCCAGAGAATATTCCCTTAACTCAACGCCGGTTCCATTATTATTTAAAGCAAGTTCTCTCTAAATCCAGCTTATCACCCCAATTATTCTCGGGGCATTCATTCAGGATAGGCGCAGCTACCTCTGCTGCCAATCAAGGCGTCTCTTCCTCATCCCTGCAACAACTCGGACGATGGTCCTCTTCTGCCTTCACATCCTACATTCGCCCGGACATCAGTGCCGTGCTGGCTATCCAAAGTTCCCTCAAACCTTAACGGTATTTATGCATATAACTGGTGGTGGTCTTAGCAAGTCAGCACATTTACGTGTCACAGTGTTCGCGTTTAAACCTTCACATCAGTTTGCGACCTCCGGGTCTGCATCGTGTTTAACCCTGTGTGTACAGGTTGCGGCCAGTGGGTCAGCGTCATGTT